CATCATACTGCCAGTAGGATTGGTTGCCCCCATATTGAACACTGTCCCATTGGTGCACCTCAGTTTATATATACAGATAATAACACATGAATCATAAAATCAAAATAGTGGAAAAGGAGAATAAGTGGAGTAATACTTTGATCGCTTAACGTTGAAGCAGACAGAGCTCGATTGCCACCCGAAATTCCAAACTGACAAGTTAATAGGCAGAAAATCAATCCTACAAGACAACAGAGTTTCTCTACATACCAATATGAATGGAGTTCGAGATTCAAATAAGAATTGTTGTAAAACTCACCACCTAGGTGGGACGCTCTACTTGGCCATCTTGCCCATCTATTTTACTCCCATCTAAGGTCCCACCCTATTTTACTAAATTGTATTCCACCTAGACCTGATTAATCTATCTGAGTAGGCACCATGCTCCAGTAAGCCCCTAGCAAGTGTGCCTAGTGCTTTTTATCACATTGCCATAGATGTTTATCTACAAAACCAGTTACAGTCGAATATTTTTACCTGCATTCTTGGCAAAAGAGACTGAGAGCGTCACTGTTCACATATTCGAAATTTGAGACTTAATCACCCCACCCAAAAAAGAAAGAGCAGTACTTTCAAAAGGCAGGCACTATCTCTCTCTTTAGTGCACAAAAAATACAGAGTACTTTCTTAGAAGATGTAAGGCCCGCTTGAGAACAAGTTTAGTGTTTTGAAAAGGCTATCTAATGGCAGCACCTAGGTTCAGTCTTTTCAAAGTTAATTTGCACCATTGAAAAATTATCCAAAATACTGACTGAAAACACTATTCTCAAACAAGGCTGTAGTGTAAAACACACGCTTGGAGAAAATAATTTGAAACTGAATACTAGTAGAGTTAGGGATTTGACTGCTAAAACAAGAAAAAGATGCATTTCATTAAATTGAAAAGAATTCATTAAAATTTGGAATCAACAATGTGCTTTTTAGAAAGGGCGCAAGGGAAAAAATAACTTACCATCTGGGATGTCGGTGTACTCTGGGCAGAACTATAAAGCACACTATTCATAGGACCAGAAAATTGGTTGCTAATTCGATTTAGCTGATTTCCTTGGTTGAGTTGATTTTGACTCATAGCATGCTGAATAGCACCAGATACAATCTGCCTTCCCTGAAACTGCTGGACTCCACCATGTGATTGAGAAAATTGGATTTGAGGTTGACCGTGCATCTGAGAAATGTCCTACTTAAAATTTTGTTAGCACTTACTTTCATGATGATGATGGTGACTAAATATTTCTATTATTTTACTACTAGTTTTTTAACAAAGGCCATCTATAGCCAATGGAGCTAAAAGACTCATTTATTTGAAAATTTGTCTTTATTATATTATTAACAAAGTTTTAGCCAATGGGAAAGTAATCAAATAGATCAAAATGGCTCATCAAACTTCCTTCCCTTCCTACTCTCTATTAGGTTATAGGAAGCAAATACAGCAATGCATAAAGGACTAAAGAGAACAACATCTCCGTTCAATACAGGGATAGGGTTGTGCACATCTTGAAACACACCCCCCCCCCCCTCTTTTTATAGAGAGACAAGGTTGTATCATCTTCAACCCCCTTCCCCTAATCTGTTTTTATACGGATAAGGTTGTGTACATCTTGATCCCCTTGTTTTTACAGGAATAAGCCATTGCAATGGAGCTAAAAAAGCTATAAGAATGTGAATAGGAATAGCTTATCTTTATTTGAGAGAATAATGGACTAGATCAAATTGGGTGATCAAAGTTTCTTTGCTTCTTACTTCCAAGTTTTTATTAGCAAATACAATAAAGCTCTAAGGCCATAAAGGTCTAATGAAAACTACTTCATTGTTTTTAATAGCCTTACATGGATAAGGTTGTATACTTCTTTTAC